TGTAAAACAGGGACAATGATGTCCTGCCTTGTGGGTGTTGGGAAGGTTAAAGGCAGTAACACTTGTCAAGCTCTTGGAGGAGCATGTGGCCCTGGGAGCCGTGCGCGTTTGTGTGCGTGTGCGTGTCTGTGAGTGCGTGAGTGTGCGAGGCACGTGGGATGTCCGGGAAACTGCTGGCTGTCCCGCTGTAGCTCAGGGGATTCTGGGATGCACATCGAATTTTTTGAGTAATCTTAGTACGTGTGTTCCCAAACCTGGTCTCCCAGGAGGAGGGACACAGTGAGGGGGAGAGAGGCTCTGCTCTCACTGCGATAATTAGAGTGTGACTTCTGTTCCCCATGCCCTGCCTTGCTCCTGTCCCCAGCCTGAGCATCTCCTGTCACCCCATCCCTCGTCTGACCAGGGGCCACTTACCACCTGCTGTTAACATAACATGATCTTTATGCCCTCGAGGAAATAGAGGCTCAGCCAGGAGAGGCAGCGAGTCCAAGGGGGTCTGGGCCCCTGCCCTCCCCTCCTCCTGCTTCTTCTGACTTTCCAAGTCGTGCCCAGTGCACGCCTAAAGCGCAGGTGTCTCCGAATGCAGTCTGATGGGTTTCTGCATGAGCCTTCACCTTTGGAACCACGCCAGGTCAGGGCCAGGATGCTCCAGGCCCCAGTCAATACCCTCTCCTGCGGGAACACTGTGAACTCGGACCCCAGTTTGTGTTCTCAGTGGTCTCGCACAGGGTCCGGCGTTCACGCCCTGCAGTGTCCCTGTGTGGAGTGGCTCCTCCTATGTCCCGGGCTTTGATTGACGCTCCACCCGCCACTCCCCGCCCTGCTCTGGGCACTGGGGCTGTTTCTGTTTCCCTGCGAGGACGGTGGCGTCTGGGTGGTTCGGGCTGGGGGCCCCGTCCCTCTGCGCCCTGACCTCTTGGTCTCCCTAGGCCTCTGCTACTCACCCAGGGCAGGCAGGTTGTGCCACCTTATTCCTTGGCAGCTCCCCTGACCCTACTCCAGTCTGCGGACCAAAGGGAGCCCCACCCAGAGGAGACACTTTCTAGGGACAGTTTCCCACAGGCCTGGACCCACCGACGCTGATCCAGGGCGTGTCCAGCGCCGGTGTCAGGCCCTTTGTTCATCTGAGCTCCTGAGAGCTTGGCTGGTGAGTCTTCAGAAATTTTGAGAGGCAATTGTTAAACACAGTCATTGTTGTGACCAGCAGGTGGCATAATGGCTACTTCGCTAGACTCCCATGGAGTTGACCATGGTTGGAGTCCCGGACCCAGTGGCTTAAACTCATGCTGAGCACGTGTGCATGCGTGCCCAAGATCCCGAGAGGAGAATGGAGGAGAAGGGATTGCAGCATGGCTCTCCCCCCTGGGAGGTGATTTCTTGCTTTCTGTCTCTCTGTCTCTGTCTGTCTGGTGAGTGCATGTGCCCTATAGCAAAACCCTCTCCTAAAAGAAAAAAGAAAAGAAAAGAGAAA